GCCTTTTTTTTTTTTTTTTTTTTTCAATTTTTCGGTTCTCAATCACTTGAGGACCGCTAGGAGTTGTAGTGTGGGGGCCTTGCTTTCTCTCTCTCTCTCTTTTTTTTTTTGTTTACCCCAGGGTGAATTTTCGGACCGTATCTAGCTATAATTCACGTTCGAATGGTGACACGTAACAACCGCGAGGTGGGTGTTTGAGTTTCACCCGAGATTTCTGAAGATAAACACCGACTCAGAATAAACGACGTTCGGTATATAAAATAAGGAAGGGATCGGCTACCACATATATTTATGAGGGGTTTTTGGGACACAACATTGGGCACACCACCAACCACACTCCCCCTTTATCTACAGTGCAGGTGCTTCACATGTGATTTTTTTTAAAAAAATCACATGTAGGACCCCTGCACTGTAGATAGAGGGAGAGTTTGATTGGTGGTGTGTACAAGGGTGTGCCCCTATCATTTCTTTATATTTATCGGTTAAACGCACTCGGTTGGGTTCAAAATCGTATGCGAATGTGGACCGCTACATTGCCCTAAAATTTGACGTTTACGAGGTGTAGGCAACCGGACGACTCCGAAATAAAAGGGGAGCTGGGGTCGCTGGAATCGCGAGAAGCCCCTGCGTATTCGATGGAAACGAACCAACACATATCTTTTTTTTTTTTTTCATATTATCGTCATGTTGTTTAGTTTTCGCTTGTAGATGTGCTGCACAAGTTGTAATTTGGATTCGTAGCTGTTAGTTTAATTTTACTTTTATGCAATTTACTTTCCACACATTTTACCATGCACGTTGTTTTTACTGTTTGTTAATTAATATGATGGCTATGAGGCCATCCCTCTATCACGTATATAGGTTCATCTGTTTACTAGTCTCTGAGTTGCTTTCGCATGTTTTCCATCAAAGTGTCATCTGTAACAGTAGTAGTTGGCAGGAAAATTTTGACATTTCAAGGGTCAATTAAATAGCGAGGCCTTTCGCTCTGCATTTCCTACAGGTCAGATCAGTCTGTTTTTTTTTATCAGGTGTTTTTTTTACTTAAAAAAAAAAGGAAAAGTCAAACACCTCAAAAATAGATTTCTTTGTATTTCTATAAAAAATTGTAGGAAGGTTTTGAAAACTCAAAAACTACCAATTATGTTGTTTCTCGTACTTTCTTTGTTTAATTCAAAATAAGAGAAGAATGAGCCAATTACTTTATAAAAATAACAGATTTTTCTTTTGTTTTGTTTGGCTGCATATGAAAAATTTATGAAAATTTTTTGCTAATCTTATTCATCACTCACAACGGCTAGTTTAAAGGCTCCTATGACGGCTAGTTTGGCATCCTTAAACTCTATTTGCATCCTTAAACTCTATTTGCTAATCTAATTCAAAATAAGGAATTTTTTTCTATATACAGATGAAGAACGAGAGCGTGATGAGATTTAGGATATAATGGAAGAAGCAGAAATAATACTAAGAGCCAATGCTTTGCAAGTTAGACACCGATTTGGGTGGTACTGCAACTATATCACCTACACAAATTGGATCATGAATGATCTCTTAACTCATACCAATGGGACTCTGACCAACATGTGTAAGGAGGGGATTGGCCAGCATCATGGACTAGAAGTTTATTTACAATGGTTAAATAGAAATCAATGATCTAAAAAAATCTTGTACAACTTAGGTATTTTCATGTTCTACTTTGATATTTTCATGTACTAAAAGTTGACTCAGGTATTGATCTTTTATCATAATTGATTGCCTCAACTGAAACTTACAAGTTCAACGTAGATTACATTCTAATAACGTATTAATAAACGCCTTATCTTTATTATGAACATTATAAAGTAGTTTGCAATCTTATTTAATTGACCATCATCATTGCCAACATATGTAGAGTAGAGAGCTAAACAAGATCTAAAATCAGTCCAACAAAAAGAAAACAAAAACAACGTTATAAAAACAGTACATTTGGAGTGCATGCTATTAAAACATTTTGCATTACACCTTTACGCCCTCTAAACCGTGCAACTAGGTTAGACAATAACATTACATCGATGTGTGTTCCATCTATTATACCAATGTAATCCTATCGAAATAGTATATTTTTTTAAAATATTAGTTTCTCATATTACTAAATTACGTAAATAAACTAACTCAAACAATTTATTTCTCTCTTACCTTGAAGTAAGAGAAATAGTTCGGATTGTTGGCAATCTTTGGTGGAATCTCATCAGATGTTTGCTTCATGTGTCGATCGCGAAGACCATTCATAGCCTGTAGGACTTTATTAAAGTATCTACTACCGTTTTGCCTGATCTGATGAATTTGGTCCTTATTACTCTATTTTTAGTGTTATGACTCACTATGCTCATGAACACATGGAGTTGTTCTTCAACTTGAAGGTGCCTTGTGTCCTTTAAAGAACCATTATTTCGCATTTTATTCGTAAGTTTGAAAAATGCTTTAGGTCTCATTCTAATATAAGGCCTACAACTATCACTATATCTTTCAAAGGCATGCTTAGAGTAGGCATTTCTACAAAAAATAATTCTCATCGTATCTTCTCTTGGAACATTACAAAGTGATTTGTGCCTAGCATGCATTCCCAATAAACAAGCTATTATTATAACCACGGAAGATATAGTCGATTTAACACACATCCTTTTTATTTGTTCTTTATCTACACCATCCATCTACATTCATTACAAAGCAAAAATAGTTTAAGACGTTTATGCAACAATGATGAATGACAAAAATTTGAATAGTAAACTTATCAACTGTTTTCGAAAAAAGTTGCCTTCATCATTGATTTCATTAAACTTCAATCGTTACAAATGAATTCAAATAACAAAGAATAAAAATTACAACTTTTCGAAAATAAACACAAGATTCCTGTTTTGCGGTCTCTTGCTTGCGTGGGTCTTTGGCCTGTGACGGGGATGTTGATATCCGTGGACCACCGGTCAATCAGATCTGTTTCCGAAAAATCGGACAGAGCTTCGTCGATCCGCGAGAGATCTAGAAGCTTTGAAGCGTTTATCTCGGCTAAAGCGAGATATTAGCTCTTCTTAGTATTAACGCCAAGGGCTAATACTAAGGAACGGACACACGGGTGATGAAGATCTGATGAAGAATTCCCCTAAAGTGCTCGATCACTCTTCACTGCAGCAGGGCTTCGCCTCTTTCTCTCTAAAATTCCAGATCTGCAAAAAGTGAGGCCAAGGGTCACTATTTATAGGCAAGAGGGGTGTAGGGTGTCTAGGAAAAGGCTAGACACCCCTAGGGTGTCTCCACAATTCCGAGACACCTCTGGGGTGTCTCCGTTTCCGAATTTTGGAGACACCTTTGGGGTGTCTCCACATTCTGGAGACACCTCTGGGGTGTCTCCACATTTTGGAGACACCTCTGGGGTGTCTCCGAATTTTGGAGACACCTTTGGGGTGTCTCCACATTCTGAAGACACCTCTGGGGTGTCTCCACATTCTGGAGACACCTCTGGGGTGTCTCCGAATTCTGGAGACACCCCAGAGGTGTCTCCGAATTCTGGAGACACCTCTGGGGTATCTCCACATTCTGGAGACACCTCTGGGGTGTCTCCAAATTCTGGAGACACCTCTGGGGTGTCTCCGAATTTTGGAGACACCTTTGGGGTGTCTCCACATTCTGGAGCTCTGGGGTGTCTCCGAATTTTGGAGACACCTTTGGGGTGTCTCCACATTCTGGAGACACCTCTGGGGTATCTCCGAATTCTGGAGACACCTCTGGGGTGTCTCCACATTTTGGAGACACCTCTGGGGTGTCTCCGAATTCTGGAGACACCTCTGAGGTGTCTCCACATTTTGGAGACACCTCTGGGGTGTCTCCGAATTCTGGAGATACCTCTGGGGTGTCTCCGAATTCTGGAGACACCTCTGGGGTGTCTCCGAATTCTGGAGACACCTTTGGGGTGTCTCGGAATTTTGGAGACACCTCTGTGGTGTCTCTGAAATTCCGAGACGCTCCGTTGAGGTGCATTTGTCTGCTTCCGCCGTAAATTCTTCGTCCGAACTCGGATTTTAGTGATTCGAAGTGCGTTGGAAGCCGGACGAAGAGTTCTATCAGCTCCATTGGTTGGATTGCCTGTAGGATATACGAGGCACATCACCGGATTCCTGATTGGCCCGGGTCTTCGTTGTTCCGAAATCCTATCAGCTCACGTAGCTCGTCGATTCACTTCAATCGTTCGTCGACGTCAATTGGACTCCTGTGGATCGGATAGTGACGTTCATCATCGCTCTTTAACACTGAGCCGTTCGTGGAGACCTATAGGCAATTTTTGATGCCTACAGATACCCCCTCCAAAGTGTTCCAGACTCGTTTCTTTTATAGAAGAGGCTGGAATACTTTGGACATGATAGGTCTAACCTTCAGTCGGCGTAAGGACCTGTAGTTAGCTTCAACTCTTGGCTCCTTCGGTTTTCGATCTATTCGATGCTTTGACGAATAGCCGAAGTTCTTCCGGCACTGCGTTTATCGTCTGGCCGTCGTCGGAGTCTCGAGTCTGCAGCTGATGAATTGAGTTTGGCTCGTGTCATTGAGTTGACTTTGAACTACCTCCATCACATTGTGTGTTGATGAGCAATGGGATGATTTCAGAAATAAAAGGTTGGACTCAGTTGGTGAGTTGCTTGGTAGAGAGCTATGGGCGAATATTCATCTTTAAGACACTATGGATGTTGATTCCCGTCTAGCTCCTACAACGAAAGCTACAATCAAATAGTTTTCGGGTCGGTGAACGAAAGTTGCGAATGGAGGGCTTTTCACATAGATCGAGAAGAGTTACAATTCAACGACACTTCTGACGATTGATGAAAACTCTATGCAGCAGTCTTCACAATCTACAGTGAAAGTTACAATCTGACGGCTTTCACACCCCACAACAGCTAAAGCTAGGATTATTGAACAACGGTCCTTGCAACGCTCTACAGAAGAAGTTACAAATCAGCTAACTCCTTCTGAAACGCGGGTGTCATCCCCGCGTCATAACTTTGGAAATGAAGGCGACCCTCGCGTCGTCAATGCACAAGCCAAACGTGAGCGACCCTCGCGTTCAATGGTGTTCAACCAACAGCGACCCTCGCGTCGTCAATGCACAAGCCAAACGTGAGCGACCCTCGCGTTCAAAGGTGTTCAACCAACAGCGACCCTCGCGTCATCAAGGCACAAACCAAACGCGAGCGACCCTCGCGTTCAATGGTGTTCAGCTAACACCCAACTTCGCGTCTCAATTCAAAGAACACGAAGTTGAGTTCTAAACGCCAGAATGGGCGTTTGACTTATTCAAACATAAGTCGAACGGTTCCAAAACCGTTTATCCCACGTTCTGAGGGATTTTCGCCCACGTAGGAGCGGATATAGGGGTCAGTTACAACCCCTTATCCCTCTATAAAATATCAACAAACTCGACAGAGTTAAAGGATCGGATTTTTGATAATCAGATCAAGGGTTGGCTTCTTTATCATCAAAACCACTCAGGTTTGGAGATTGGGCAACAACAGCAACGAAATCCTTGGAGATAGGATTTTTGAATCAACCTCAGAAGATCAAATCTGAGAGGATTCTTGGATAATAGAAAAACAGCTTGATCTTTAACCGAATTTTCGGTTCCAACAACTCTATTCACAGAGTTCAAACTCGTTCAGAGTTCTTAAACTCATTCAGAGTTATTCATAAAAACTTTCCACGAAAGTTCATCGTTCCCACGAGATAAAGACGGTCGGATCGTCAACGGAGAGCAAGTTCGACGCAATCAATCGAAGGAAGCACTCCATCGCTGCCAAGAAGAACCCAGTTTTAAACAAAGGGGAAAGCCAAATTCGTTTTCCTCTCTTTTGTAATCAAATTGTAACCGAGATCAAAGGAATCAAAGTCAAATTTTCTTTATTCTCTTCTTTGCAATTTTCCCTATATACAAAAATTTTGATAAAGGCATGTGGAGACCAAACCAAAATTTGTGGAGGGGTTTTTATGCAAAATTGGCTAAATTCTGCAAAAGGGTTTATTTGCAAAATTTAACCAAAATTGTGGGGTACCGGGGTGTTAGATGATCGAATATGATGATCATGACCCGGATCGCGCATGTCCTTGACCTGAATTTGGCCTTGAACACGAGGGGTATTTTGGGTATTTCACCAAAATTTATCGTGAAAACGACATCTATTGTTTGCGTGCACGAAATTTGTAGGTTTAATTGGACTTCAACTATAAGATCCTATTATTTCACCAAAATTCACCGTGAAAAATGACAACCATTGTTTTGCATGCACGAAATTTGAAGGTTTAACTAGACTTCAATTATGAAATCCTATTTATACATAGGATTTTAATTAAAGTTCTTAATTTCCCTTTTAAATTTCGTGTATTCATATTTTAGATTGTACCTGACTTGCTGCTTTTCGTTGCAGATTTTCAATGTCTCCACGCCGACCTCGACCTCGAAGGAGTCGTTCTCATTCGCAGCACAGCGAGGAAGAGGTCCTTTGGGGGTGAGAATTTACATTTTCTGTATCCCTGATTGACCTCTTAGCGGGTCATTAAGGAAGAACCGATACCTCTCTCGCGGAGGTTAAGGTTTCGGACTTGTTGGTTCTGCTATATCCTCGCTTGGCCCCTTCGCAGGTCATTCGGGAAGAACCGACATCCTCCTTCGCGGGGGTCGAGGTTTCAGACTTGGTGGCTCTGCTGTATCCTCGCTTGGCACCTTCGCGGGTCATTCGGGAAGAACCGACATCCTCCTTCGCGGGGGTCGAGGTTTCAGGACTTGTGGCTCTGTTGTATCCTCGCTTGGCCCCTTCGCGGGTCATTCGGGAAGAACCGACATCCTCCTTCGCGGGGGTCGAGGTTTCAGACTTGGTGGCTCTGCTGTATCCTCGCTTGGCCCCTTCGCGGGTCATTCGGGAAGAACCGACATCCTCCTTCGCGGGGGTCGAGGTTTCAGGACTTGTGGCTCTGCTGTATCCTCGCTTGGCCCCTTCGCGGGTCATTCGGGAAGAACCGACATCCTCCTTCGCGGGGGTCGAGGTTTCAGGACTTGTTTTGCCTGGCCAATTCAAGTCTTCCGGTATATTGGGGCGATATTGTGTTGTCTTACACTTTGTAGGTCGGTATATGTTACCACGTTGTTTACGTGATGACGCATACCGTTCTTTCAGTGTGGGACACTCAAAATCGTCACTCCAATTGCCCCCGTGGATGACTTAGTTCGCTCTCTTGTGAGATGGATTTTCTGACTCCGTTCTTGTGTTTTGTTACAGTCGAGTTCCCCTCGAGCAGTCTTCCTCCTCATGCCAATACTGGTTGTAGCCGGGAGGTCTTCTCTTCAGCTTCCATCCGGCAGGCCGTCAGTCCACTCCCTCAGTTTGACAGAGATCGTTCCGATGAATCTTGTCGTCTGATACGGGAAGGAGGGCGTCATTGCTTGCGCCAGCTTATTACGGATGCCTCCTTTACCGCGGATTCCACCTCTACTCAGGCTTTAAGGAAGCCGAGTTTCTTGTTCGGAGATCACGTCGAGGACCCTGCTACGCTGACCCTTACCGAGGAACACTGGCTGAATCTTGATGAAGGAGCTCTCTTGTACATTCCCTCCATTCCTCGCCAATATTCTTTCACTCATTTGAGGGGACAGGCCGTGGGGCGACAGATGTCCTGGGATCTTACTAAGGATGCTGAGCGAGTTCCGTGTGGATATACCTCTCATCACAAGACTCCCGGTTCTAGCGGGTATCATGATATTCGTGGTCTTCGGCCAGGGATCGTGGGCCTTGACACCGCACCCCCATGCGAGGTGTCAGCAGCTGCTCCTACTGTGAGTAATCGTCTGGCCCTTCTGGGGAGGAGATTACCTCCACCAGAGCCTAGATGCTATGGTTGGGCTTCCTCACTAGCCAAGGGGTGGTGGGC